TAGGTTGAATGCCATGAAAACAACCTACCTTTGAAAGCATCATGTTCTGCACTCAAGGATATATCCACTAAATGTGACATAATTACTGTCTGGAGGCCTCAGAGCCACCTCTTTGACAGTAACAGAGATAGATAGATAGATAGATAGATAGATAGATAGATAGATAGATAGATAGATAGATAGATAGATAGATAGATGTCTTGTGCGCTTCATCACTAAAAAACTACAACTCACTGTCGCACACTTGGTGACGCGAATGACGTCAGAGTTTGTCTTCGTGAATTTCTCGAAGGGAAGAGGCGCAGTGGGGGAAAAAACAAGATGGCAACGGGCTCAGATCACGGGCTGAAAAGAATAGTTTGGAAAAGTAAGTTTACTCCAACAGGAGAGTATTTCTTGTTCTTGTAAAATAGCACAACAGCGTTTGTTTAGCACGTGACAGGCCGTGAACTGTGAGCTGTTTTAGCTAACCTCTTCCTGCGCGACTTTAGCTTTTGGAACATTTTCATTCAGCTGTTCCCTTTGAGCGGAAAATTACAAATTTACGAAACGCAGTAGAACCGATAGAGGAAACAGCCGCAGACGCAACTTGACCTAACACTTGGCCCGGTCAGAGCATAACGACTTTTTTAGGCTACTTGTTTGTAGGAGTAGCCATGGGTGAGGTCACTGTACGTCTGCAACCGCACCTCGTTTATGCAGCGGGATTGCTACAAGCCTGGCGTATTATTTGTATCCCTATCCTGATGTCTTGCCTTCCTCTTGTTGGCTGTGGTTAGGTTATGTCACCAAGAAGGCCGGTTTGGGTTGCCGTTAAAATGAGGGTCAAACAAGCAGCTAAAACTGATGCAGCCCAGTAGAACAGCGGTAATGAAGTTTTGTTGCTGCTGACATGTGTTGTTAGAACTCTGTCAGACTGGTGACCTGGACCCCACCTTTCGCCCTGTGACAGCTGGGATAGATGTATGGATGATTCAAGTTTACGCACTACAGGCTACAAAATGACCATAAAGTCGCTGAACAGTTGTCCCTAAATGAATGAGAGTGCTATCACTCAGGTTTGCCCAATAACAGGCTAATAATCAAGTAACAGAGTTAGACAGAAATAGCCTTTGTTCTTAATACTCCACTCATGAAAGCTGAAATAACCTTGGCAGTACGTAAATACTTTAGTTGGTTCAAAGGTCATTCCTTCTTAATTAATCAAAAAATGTTTTTAAAAACTGCCGAAAACCCCCCAACTAA